TAATTACACAAATGAACACATAATGACAATTGAAGAAACTAAAGGAAAAATACAATGTATGGGAGCACAAAACAAAATAATTAATAGCCTGGCGGGTCTAATCTCAACACAGCCTTGAAAGGATGCCTGGGTTGAGGTTTGAAAGACGGATAAGTGTTAACTAGAGAAGAGAGATAGGGGTTTAATAGTGCATGCAAAAGTCCTGTAGGAGCAAAGGGATGAAGGAAGGTTGGTTGGAGATATCAGGCTGATGCCAGGCTATGCAGTGTAGAGCCTTGTAGGCTGAAGGATTTTTTTTTTTATTGTTTGTTTGTTTTTTGAGACGAAGTCTTGCTCAGTTGCCCAAGCTGGAGCATAGTAGCACAATCTCAGCTCACTGCAACCTCTGCTTCCTGGGTTCAAGAGATTCTCCTGCCTCAGCCTCCCAAGTAGCTGGGACTACAGGTGCACACCACTACACCCAGCTAATTTTTGTATTTTTAGTAGAGAAGGGGTTTCACTATGTTGGCCAGGCTGGTCTCGATCTCCTGACCTCAAGTGATCCACCCGCTGGGACTCCCAGAGTGCTGGGATTACAGGTGTGAGCCACTGCGCCCGGCCGGCTCAAGGATTTTTTGGCTTTTATCTTTAGAGCAATTGGAAACCATTGAAGGGTTTTAAGCCAGCATACCATACAGTACAGATTGATGGTGTGGCCTCAAGCTAAAGCTCCCTGGAAGGGAGTTTGCAGTGTGGAGAACCATTCAGTGGATTTTAAAGATGTCAACATGAGAGATGATTGTAGCTTGGACTAAGGTGGTGAGAAATTGATGGATTGGAAAAGTATTGATGGAGTAGAACCCACAGGACTTGGTAACTCCAAGGTGGCTGTCACCCTTATGTAAGTGCTTCCATTTATCTAATTGCTCATGAGGTTTCTTGTAAGTGGTTGATTATTTATTATTTCATCCAGAATTTGTATAAAGAAAGATCAATACATTTGTTTCTTCAAGTTTGTTTAGTAAAGGATGAATATTCAAGGGTACTTTTAGTCTTTATGGGCCAAGGTAAAAAAAATGATGGTCATCATGTGCATTTAAGCCCTCAAACACTATTGGTACACGCAGCCAAAATGCAAAAGCAGGACATACGAATTACAAGTCTGCACCTCAGGGGCTGAATAGCAAATACTAATTCAGAAGAGGCCTTATGACCCAGGAAAACATACTTTAATTAATATCTGTATTGTTCTGTCAGGTAGGTTAACCCTCCGGATCACATCAGTATTTGGCAGTGTTGATCTTTATTGTTGGCATAGAAACTAGATTGTGTGTATGTGTGTGTGTGTGTGTATACATGTATGTGTGAGCACGTGTGCATGTACACAGTATCCTCATGTATACTTAATATATATGTTACCTACTAGATGTATTACATATGGATAATAATAAATAGAAAACATTAAGCTATTTATCAAAACCTCTCAAATGCCTGCTCTGCATGCTGTCAGACCACAGTGATTCTGGAGAGGAAGTGTGCTTTGAGATGAATGATGGGTTAATTAAAGGCAACTGGCCAGTGGCTTGTGAACTGGTGTTTGGTTCATTAAGTGTTCGGTATATTTTACTTTCTGTCCAAAGGGAACCCTTTGCTTACTGGAAAGTAAAATAAAAGCAGCTCCCGGGTAAACTGTCAAAAGCTTGGATGAGTATGTCGGATTAGATTGTATCATTCAAAGTTGAACCATGATTGAAAGCTGTAGCTGTAGCCTCTGTCCTTGGTGGTATAGCAGAGCTCTCCTGAACTTAATGTTGCTTCATTACCAGGCACTCCATCATACAGTGTTAAGGCACTGGATTGAAGTGAAACTTTGTGTAAGTGAGTTGGTCTCATACATTGGATAGTATAGCTTAATATAGTATTTAAATCCATTCCTTTCCCTTAGATGATTGGCATGTCTTACATACTAATGGGCATCTCCACATGAGCTTTAATTTCTGCTTTGTCCAAAGTACCCGGGCTTATTTTAATATTTGACTGTTAAAGATTGTCTTCAAACTCCTATAGGTTTCCTATATCATATATCAAAAAGATACTCATATCTGGCTGGGCGCAGTGGCTCACGCCTGTAATCCTGGCACTTTGGGAGGCCGAGGTGGGTGGATTGCCTGAGCTCAGGAGTTCGAGACCAGCCTGGGCAACACAGTGAGATCCTGTCTCTACTAAAAATACAAAAAATGAGCAGGGCGTGGTAGTGCTTGCCTATAGTCCCAGTTACTTGGGAAGCTGAGGCAGGAGAATCACTTGAAGCCGGGAAGCAGAGGTGGCAGTGAGCTGGGATCGTGCAACTGCACTCCAGCCTGGGTAACAGAGTGAGACTCTGCCTCAAGAAAAGAAAAGAAAAAAATACCCTCATATCTTTCTTAGGATCTATATATTTTCTGGGTCCCTTTCTGGGCCCTAGATCCTCAGAGTGTGGTTCATACTTGAGAGCTTGTTAGAAATGCACAATCAGTCCCACTCAAGACTTTCCCAAATCAGAATCTGCATCTTAGCAGGATCCATGGGTGATAGGATGCACCTTACAGATTGAGAAGCACTTTTATAGATAACATCCTTGGTAAAAATCAATTGAGTCTCTAGAAGCAGTGTAGGATTACAGACTGAATGATCTGAATCTAACTCAGATGAATTAGATTTAGTGATCAATTTCTGGAAATATGTCTGATAAGCCCTCTGTGAGTAACAAGTTACTTTATGCCCCGTTTTCCTCATCTAGATATGTGTGGGTCATCTTTATACCACGGGGTATCGTGAGGATTAAATAAGCTAATGCCAGGATGGGCATTCACTGGACTTTTGTGAAGATAGTGTGCCTTCTCTTCTTCCGGGGCTTACTGAGTGAGCTCTGTTACTCCCACTTGTCCCATATGCCTGTGGTTTTGTTTTTACCTCGTCTTGCTGTCTCCTCTTATTCTCATTCCCAAACTGTCTTTAGTTCATAATTAATTATGTATTAAATTGTATTTAAATAGCCTCCAGCATCCAAAGGAGTAAGAGTGTAGTTACTTACCCAAGAGTGTAGTTTGCATGTTAGAGTTAGTTCCATAGGGTAGGTAAGACAAAATAGTAAAAGCCTCTGGGGATTTCATAAGGCACTGAGCACACCAGCACAATTTTTGGTTCTTTTGTTTCAATTACACTACGTATTTGGAACACAATATAGCTTCAATCTTGCAGATTATATAAGCTCCAAAGTACTTCATGATTGTTTTTATTATAACCACAGTGCACATGAATTTATATTCAGATGTACCCTATCCTATGAGAAAAATGCTATTTTTTTAGCAAATGATGTTTTAAAGAAAACAAATGAATGTTCACTGGAAATCAGTGAGCACCTGGAGCGTCAGTTAGGAGGTGGTTGTTAAAAATATTGGGCTTTGCCTGTGGCTGGTGCTATAAGCTATGCTATTAAATATTGCTGCTACCATATAGGAAATAAAGGCAAATACAAAGCATTACAAGGATTTAAAATACAAATTAGAGTGGCGCCTTTCCAATTTATATAGCATATTCTTTTTTTTTTTGAGACGAAATTTCGCCCTTGTTGCCCAGGCTAGAGTGAATGGCGCGATCTCAGCTCACTGCAACCTCTGCCTCCCAGGTTCAAGCAATTCTCCTGCCTCAGCCTCCTGACTAGCTGGGATTACAGGCATGTGCCACCATGCCTGGCTAATTTTTATATTTTTAGTAGAGATGGGGTTTCTCCATGTTGGTCAGGCTGGTCTTGAGCTCCCAATCTTAGGCGATCCTCCCATCTTGGCCTCCCAAAGTGCAGGGATTACAGGTGTGAGCCACCGCGCCCAGCCATATAGCATATTCTTTAGGTTAGCTAAAAAAAAAAAAACCTTGCTGTCTGCTTTTGAGGCTTTATTCCCATCACCTATGCCCTGCCATACTACCTTGGTGAAGGGCTTCTAGAATATACTTGTGTATCCCTTTTCTGTCTAATTAGAAGGGTTGATGATTATATTGCTTTTTTACTACTCTGTTATGTTTTCTTTTGTTTCTTTGAGGTTGAGATGTCAAAATACGTAAATGGTCAGACTTTTTAGGCCCTTGCCACATAGAACCTGTATTTTCCATTTACTTACTGTGCATTTGGTGCCTTTGTATGCTAGTCATTACGTAAGGTGCTTTATCCGATTTACTTCATCATTTTAGAAATTCAATACTTCGCCTCACATCATATAACCTAGTACCTGGTGAGCTGGGATGGGAATCCAGATCTTGCTTGTTCTACAGTCCATGATTCCTGCAACACTTGCGCTGCCTGTATTGAGCCCTCCTAATTTTCATCTTTCTGCATGTGCAGTTTCTTCAGTAACCTTGCTTAACTAATTGATTGGAAACCTGTTTTGGCTTTCAGAGGACTGAAATAAGAAATTGTCTCTCCACGCATTCTTGAGCAACCCAGGATCCTTTCAGATGTGCTCAAGCAACTAATGCGTGGTTGAACTAAGATGACTTTTGCCATCACTTTGAACTGAGAAAGTTCTGTTATTGACCTGTTTTCTGGTGTGAGTTTTGAAATGACACGTGTGCCTGCTATTAGAATCTGTTCCATTCTTGATGATACTTGGTGTCCTAGAAATATGTCAGACAATTTCTTGTTAATGTTGATGACTAAAATAGTGATAATAATATGAAAATCCTGTATTTTACTTTTATTTGTTCAGGTTGCCTCTGGGATCAGTCAGTACAATCAGAAAACTGCTGATTGCCTTGAGTGGCTGTAGCTCCCCTCTTCTCCCCCACCCAATTGCTTTTTTGCAAATAAAAAGTACATTAGGGACTGATTCTGTAGGGGTTTCTTTTGGTTGTTTTTTTGACAGTAGTTTTTACATTGCGCGCAGATTTTTTAAATGCACTAAAATAATGTTCTTCAAGATCTAATTTGGACTGTGGAGTCATGTCAGGTCTCACTTACTTTTCCCTCTCTTTCTCCCCCTTTGCAGGATGATGAAGTGGTTCTGCAGTGCACCGCAACCATCCACAAAGAACAACAGAAACTATGCTTGGCAGCAGAAGGATTTGGCAACAGACTTTGTTTCTTGGAGTCCACTTCTAATTCCAAGGTGGGATGAAGTCTTTCAAGGCTATTCAAATATGCAAGTTTTACTAGTGGCATTGAAGTTATTTATGAGCTCTCTACTATTTTCTGTGGAACACATACTATATAAATGAAAGGGATATAAAAATGTTTTCAACTCCATTTTGCTGATTTTTAATTGAGTCTCTTCTGGGTACAAACAACTAGGGATAAGATTGTTAGCAAGAACACGGAAAGTCCTTGCTCCATGATGTTTATATTCTAGTAGAAAAGCAAACAAGTAAATAAATGATGTAATTTGAAAACTGATAAGGGCTAGGAGGATTTAATGGATTATTAAGTCTGAACAGGAACCAATAGTCTTAGGCTCATTATATTTTTTATAAGATAGACTTTCAATTTTCTGTATTAACAAAAAGTCAAAACTCTAGATCCCAGTTCATGTTTAAAATAGGTAAACCTGGGTATAGATATAGTTCACACAGATATATCTGGATTTGACTTTCATTGGTAGAAAATGGGATATGGCTTTTTTTCCTCAAAGTGGTATCTCTTACATTGATCCTAAAGGGGAAAGGACAGAAAGATTGTCAGCAGTAAGTAGTCAGACATTGTAAATTATATATGTACTCTTGGAAATGAGCCCAGAAATATCTTAAGCTATGGAATTTTAAAATCAAAGGCAGAACTAACTTTTTGAGACTACCGCTCCTAGGATATTTATTTTTTTAGGCTGATCTTTGCCTAAAAGAGAATGGTTCATAATATCAGCATAGATTTTCTTGCAGAAATATAAACACTTAAATCTGTTGATATGTTTTGATTCGTTATTCCTGATTCCTAACTGTGGATATTTACTGTACATTCTATATATGAATGAATTTTCATCTGTGTCTCTATATTTCAGAAATTAGAAGTTAAGGTTTTACTTTTAGGAACTATTCACTTTGAGACAGACCCACCTTGTAATTATTAAAAATTCAGGGAGAAATGAGGAATGATCAAGAAGGCATAGTTTTTCATCTCTTTGAATCTCCACATAAAACCAGACAGAGCTATGAAGAGGGCAAAACTCACACCCACAGACGATACAGTATCCAAGACAAACTAAGTGGCAAGTTATTCCTACATATGGTGTCAGGAAATGTACAGGAGGAAGTGCAAGAGAGGCGACATGATTTCTATTGTCTCTGAAAGTCAGTGACAAATCCTTGCTGGAAACTGTGGTGGGCCAATGTGAAAACAGCAACCACTCCAGGCATGGTGGCTCACGCCTGTATTCCCAGCACTTTGGGATCCAAGGCAGACGGATCACTTGAGGTCAGGAGTTCAAGACCAGTCTGGCCAACATAGCGAAACCCTGTCTCTGTTAAAAATACAAAAATCAGCTGGGTGTGGTGATGCACACCTGTAATCCCAGCTACTTGGGAGGCTGAGGCAGGAGAATCACTTGAACCCAGGAAGCGAAGATTGCGGTGAGCCAGGATCGCACCACTACACTCCAGCCTGGGTGATAGAGCAAGATTCTGTGGAAAAGAAAAGACAAAGAAAAAGAACTAAGAGGGAGCAAAGGAACCATGGCATAGTGAGGTGAGATGTTTCTGGAGTAACCTTGGCCCTATGGACTTTTATAACTAACCATGTAAAGCTCTCTTACAGGTCAAAGCCCTCCTCTGAGGAAAAATTGCAGGGGTGATAGAGGCAAAGGATAGAGAAGGATCAAACGAAAAACAAACAAAAAAATAGAGGAGGGAAACAGAACCCATAGATTTCATAAGATGCCATGTTTCAAGTAGTGGGGAGAACCACAGAACGAGCAGTTCTAGAGCTGTCAAGCTAAAAAAAGCTACACTCTCCCTTTCCCTAAGAGGACAAGAAAAAGCATTTCAATTTGTATCTGGACATTTGATGTGCTTGTGTTGCCTGTAGATATTATAATTTTACAATATATATAATTATGTATAATTTATATGTATTAGTGGAGTAATCTAATTTATATAACTATAATTATACTTATATAATTTATATGGGTATATATTATATATAAAAAAGAGAATAAGAAGCAGAATAATATCTACAGGTAATAAAGGTCAACTAGTTAAATAAACTTATAACTATTTAAAAATGGACTAAAAGAAATTAAAAAAATAAGATACACTGTGAAGGAGCAACATACATGCTTAGCTCAGAAATAAAATGAGTAGAGAACAGAGATTTGGAAAAGGGAGCTGAATTACAGCCAGAATTCCAAATTAAAGAAAAACTAATTTTAGACCTGGAGACTGCATGAGAAGGGACAGCAGAGCACGTAAACCCACAGCTTAACATCTGCAGAGACGTAGAAGATGGAAAAGTGAAAACCTTCGAAAATCCAAAGGAAATGATTTTGTGGAAGACAATTTTCCCACGAACCGGGGCTGCAGGGTGTTTGGGGGATGATTCACGCAATTATATTTATTGTGCACTTTATTTCTATTATTATTACATTGTAATATATAATAAAATAATTCTACAATTCACCATAAGGTACTATCAGTGGGAGCCCTGAGCTTGTTTTCCTGTAACTAGATGGCCGTATCTGGGAGTGATGGGAGACAGTGACAGGTCGTCAGGCATTAGATTCTCATAAGAGGGTGTGCAACCTGGATCCCTCGCATGAGCAGTTCACAATAGGGTTTGCACTCCTGTGAGATCAGCAGCAGCATTAGATTCAGAGCTCAGGTGGTAACGCCAGTGATGGGGAGTGGCTGTACATACAGATGAAGCTTGCCAGCTGCTCACTTCTGGCTCTGTCGCCTGGTTCCTAAGGGGCCACTGGCACCGGTCCATGGCTAAGGGGTTGTGGACCCCTGACCAAAGAACACCAAATTTCAGTGGAGACTCTGGCACGAGGAATGGTGGTGAGCATTCAAGATGCACTTACCCAAGGAACTGAGATGGAACGATGGTTTTAGGGGAGAGAGTGTCTTGTGGAATGGCTCTGTCCTCTGACAAGGTTACGTAAGTATGACTACCAAAAAATGGGAGACTGGGTACAGTTTATAAAAATTCAACTTTCTGATTGCTTTATAGGTGTAGTCTAAAAGTAAACAATATAACTTTCACTGGAGACAAATAATATATTAGCTATTTGCAATATTGCTCATAGAGAGAACTAAGAAATAGTAATCAAAAAGGGAAGGTCTTAAGGATATTATTTAAAAATATAAGTATTAGGGAGGCCCAAACTTCCTAAACAAAAGAGATATATAAAAATATATTTAAATATTATATATTGTATGAACATATTTATATTATAAATAATATAAACAAAACAAATAAATATATAAGTATTATAAAATATATATTATATATTTCTGTTATATATAATGCCTATATTGAATACATTTATATTATAAGTTAATATAGATTGTTTATTAAGAAATACATATTTATTTTATATTGTATATATTTATAATATAAATATTTATATTATATATTAATGTAGATATTACATATCATTATATATTTCTATTTAAATATAAAAATGCATACTTAATGTACATATTACATATGATATGTATATCCTATGTATATGTGTGTATGTACGTATCATATATATATTTATATATAATACAGCTGTGTGCCACATACCACTTATATGACAGCGGTCCCATAAGATTATAATGGAGCTGAAAAATTCCTATTGCCTAGTGATGTCTTGATAATTTCAATCTTGCGTAGGCCTACAATAATGTGAATTTGAGTCTTAGTTTTCAACAAAAAAGTTTAAAAAGTAAAAAAAAAAAAATTAAAAAAAGAGAAAAGAGGCTTCTAGAACAAAGATATGAATATTTTCGTACAGCTGTGTTTGTATTTTAAGCTAAGTGTTATTACAAAAATCAAAAAGTTAACAAAAGTAAAGTTTGTAAAGTAAAAAGTTACGATAAGCTAAGGTTAATTTATCATTGAACAAAGAAAATTTTAAAAATAAGTTTAGTGCAGCCTAAGTGCACAGCGTTTATAAAGTTTGCAGTAGGGTGATGTCCTAGGCCTTCACATTTACCCACCACTCACTCACTGACTAACCAGAGTAGCTTCCAGTCCTGCAAGCTCCATTCATTGTTGGTGTCCTATGTAGGTGTACCGTTTCTTATCTTTTATATCACATTTTTTACTGTACTTTTTCTATTTTGAGATACGTTTATATAAACAGATACCACTGTGTTACGGTTGCCTCCAGTATTCAGTATAGTCATGTGCTGTACAGGTGTGTAACCTAAGAGCAATAGGCTAGACCATATAGACCTAGGTGTATAGGAGGCTGCACCATTTAGGTTTGTATTACATACACGCCATGATGTACACATAATGATAAGATCACCCGATGACACATTTCTAGAATGTGTCCCCATCATTAAGTGATGCATGTCTGTATATATATATCATTCATGGGTGATACACACACAGACATACACGCGCATGCACACACACACATACACACACCATATACATAAAATGTTTTAAAAGGAAAAATTTCATTTTAAATAAAAATGAAATTATATATTTATAGTATTTTTAAATTAAAATATGCATTTTAGCAGTCTAAGACAATTGAGGCCAAAGTGTGTTGATTGTATTAACAATTATAAGTGAGTTTGACTTACCTATTAAAATAAGAACTTAAAATTATAACCATGACTACAAAGCCAAATCTAACAGTATGTATATAAAAACAAAGGCACTTAAAAAGGGAAAAATAAAAGGATAGTTAAGGATATACCAAGAAGTACAAATAAAGAGAAAGCAGGTGTCTTTATCTCATTATTTGACATGGCATAATTTAGACTAAAAAACTTTGAGACAAAGAAGGATTTTTTTTTTTAAATGCTAAAGGGTACATTTTTCAATGAAGACAAAGTAGTTTAATGACCCTAATAACAGATACAACTTTTACAAAGTAGAAACCTCAGAAGTTGCCAAGAGAAACATAGAAACGTACCAATAATAAGAGACGTAACACACTTCAACTTGAAAAAAAATAAG